AATAAATGATATAACAAAAAATATATTTTAGTTGTTTGAAATGTATAATTATCCATTATAAACTAAATAGTAGTATTGGTTATAAAAGTGAGAATAAAATATTAAATTTATTAGCGGATAGAAAAGTACAGAAATCCAAATACATAACGGTTCCAAAATACTTACTAATCAAAATACTAAAGTGAAAAATTTGTATATATATGAAATTTAGTTATAGTAAGAATTAATTTTTATTAATGAGTTTCATTATTACATTTAAAATTTAAATTGGAACATGCAAAATTCATTTAATATCCATAATACTTAAGAGTATACATTCCACATTCATAAAATTAATTATATAGATTATAAAAAATTAATTTTAGTTCAAAACAATCACTGAAGCTTTAAAATTTAATTATTTTATTTATATCATTAAAAATTTTACTTCATGACTTTTTCATAAAAAATATAAATTTAATTTGAAAGTTTTATTCATAATCACAAAAATTCATAAGAATAGTTATTTGTGATTTACTATTAAATTGTAAATTATATATATGTATATAAGTGAGTTAATAATTTAAAAAAAATATATATTATTTATTCATTGTCATCTTTATATATTAATCAAGTATAATATTGAGTGCCATAAAAACCTTTCGTGCTTCCATTTACTGCTTTCGTTGTTGGTATTTGAGTTCCAAGTCTGTTAACAATTTCTTGTGGATCATAACGCGGACATGGAGAGTAAGCAATTTTACTGCTTCGTCCCGGTATTGGACTAATACGTGCATGGCGGCCACCACTCATACGTCGTTCACTCATTTCAATTAGTTTATGAATTATATATATGAATTACATATCTTTCATATGATATTTCATTTTTGTTCTATTATAAAAATATACGAAGTAATTATTGATTTCTAGTAGTAAATAATTGCCACACTCGTATTTATTTTTATCGAATGATAAAAGATTTTATATCTTTTATTGTTAATTATCATTTTTAAATTATTTGATTAATATTAATATATATACAAAATATATTTTTATATATTTTTATATATATTTATATAAATGCAATATATAACAATATATAGAAATGGAAATTATATGTCTTCATATAAACTGCAATATTACATTGAGATTAAAAAATATTATGTGACAGTTACATTTAAATCACATGCGGACTATATTTTTGAAAAAATAAAGATCTTACTTAAAAATTATACTCTCTCATCAATAGACACTGAAAACTCACATTTTTAACAAAATGTGAATAATGAGAGTTAAGTTCCTTCCTATAATATTCTACTCGATTTACCATGGATTTACCATACTTCTAGTACCAACCTTAAACGACTGCACATTATGCATAATAAGCTGCTTATAACTATATATACAAGTTTTTCTTGATTTTACTATCATAGAAGTCTACATGATCTGCTAAAATAGAGATAGTCCAAACTAAGATGACCAAGTAATCCAAAAATTTGAGGCAAGGTATTTAGTTTCATATTCCATATATTTAAGAGAAATTTTAACCGAATGATTATACAGTTTTCAAATCTTGAAATAAATTAAAACTATATATAGTATTTTTGACTCTACCATGATATAAGCTAAAAAGGTCTAAATACCCGAACCTGCTATTCTTTTATATTAAATCACTCTAAAAATCATATGTTTTTTACTTTAAATAAATAAATAATGCAACAGTTACTGTTGTTGGCAGAATATAAAGTTTAATCAATTTCAATATATTTTTAAGGATTTTTCATATATAGCATAGTTTGCATTTTGTGAAAGTTCTTAGATATATGTGAATAATAGAAAGAAAGTTAAAGAATAATAAGGTATATTACGCATAAGTGGCAGATAAATGTAAAGTCTGTCAAAAAAGTTCTTGACGTGTAGATCAAAATTTTTTTAATTAATTAAAATATAATTCAAAGCATAATAACTTCCTTATATTGAAACAGATATCTTACCATACATCTTTATACGTCTTAAATGGAAGTCAATAAGATATCTTCTATGCTCGTATTGGTTGATAAATAAATGCATTAATGATGGTTGCCAACATTTTTTAAAGATTTTGCAATCTAGAAATTAATTTTATAATATATTTTATAAATTTCTGCAATTTTAATATATATAACTCAACACCTAGTTAATAATGATCATTTGAAATTGATTATGAATGGTTTGTAAAATATCACTGCATGCCTTTATGAGTTTTATCATATAATTTTAAAAGTTTTTGAGATTTTAAATTTTGAATTTGGGAATAGTTAGCAGTACGAGAATTTAATTGAATTTATAAGTCATAAGTTATATTTAGGGTAAGTCTATTTAATTTGTTTGAATTTTACAAAAAAGATTATAACTTATTTTATATATTATTACTTTTAATCTTTTCTAAAAGAGTGTCCTAACAATCCTCAAGTCCACTTCTGGATTCTCAGGAAGATATGCTGATTTAAGGTCCATCATCAACTAAAAGACAAATAAATGATATGATTTCTTAGTCTAGTTAAAGCCTAGTGTGCGTAATAGCATTAACTCAAGAACAAGAAGAAGAAGAAGAAAAGAGTGCCGTATTGTTGCAAGTAAATGATTATGAGTTTTTAGATATAATTAATCATTAAGATACTATTTTAATCTTAAGAAACAGTGCCACACAGTATTTGGTGCCTAATAACTTAATTACTTAATTAATTACTAACTTAACTCCAATATGTTTACTCTTCTTTTTATTCTCGTTTATGAATGAAGCAATTAAACTCCAATATGTTTAATCTTCTTTTTATTCTCGTTTATGAATGAAGCAATTATTTTTGGCCTATTTACACAAATTTCACTTTAATGGATATTTTATTTTTTTATTTTTATTTTAATCAAGAAAATACAGTATGAAAATATGAGTACTATTGTAGATGCAATCACGGATCATTAAGTAAATGCTTTGATGAATAACTCTTAGGTTTATAAACAATTCTTTATAATGATCCAAACACCCAAAAGTTTTTATACTATGATAGTACATAATAATATATATTATATTATAATATATATTATTATATTATAATATATATTATTGTATTATAATATATATTATTATATTATAATATATATTATTTCTATAATGTAGGAATTTCTAAACAATAATAATAAAAGTCAATATTTGTCAAAAAATAATATTGAAATCATTTTTCACATTATTAATTTAAAGCACTTAACTTGTAAATTGAAGCTATTAACTATAAAATATTATGTATTTGATATTTCGTTATAAAAATTTATATTCAAATTTATTGCAACTATAATTATTTAAACATTAAATAAATACTGATCCTTTACCGAATCCAGTATCAGTTTCTAAGCGTAGCACCAGTTTTCTAATAAAGCTATTTATATCAACAAAAATTATAATTTTTTTTCACCTCTTTTCTGCTCATAAGAACATAAGATATTTGTAAGTGTCACGGCTGAAGGATGCGCGTGGCTACAACGTGAACGTAAGAATCACAAGGACATTTATAAACATTTCAGATAAACGTCTATAGAACTACACAAAGTTTTTGCCAAATATTTTTTATAAAACATACCACACATTTTAAGAATATATCTTAAAATTTTTTTTTATTTTTTAAATGAAACATCACACAAAGCAAACACTATATCCAATATTTTACACAAAGCTTGGATAAAACAATATATTAAAAATTTTTTTTTTTCCGGAAATTAAATTAATCGAAACTGCTTTAAAATAATCTTTTTTTTTGGCTTTTTTTAATTTTTTTTTTACACCACGCTTTTTATACTCAACTAAATTAACCGTTCGCACAAATTCTACCTTCGGAGTCCTGCCAACGACTGAAGTTCGCAAACCAGATTTTACACATCGTGTCGGATATTAAATGCGCCTAAAAAAAGCAAAAGCAGTAAATTTACAAATCAAAACAAAACAGAAAATTATTTTCCCATGTGCCTGCCCTACAATAGCCGCATACTAAAGCTCACGTTAAGCTTACAATCGAAAGCTTATCAAAAAGTTACTCATACGCCATGGACCTTTTTATTGTTTAATACAATTCGATTGCAGTGCACACACTGAAGCGCCTACAATGTAAACAAAATTCCATTCAATAATTTTGATCCTTAAGCGCACACGTGCACAGAAGCTTTGTCCTTATTATGTATTATATATAAGTATATATATATAATATATAATATTTATATAGATTTATTACAAATTGTTTGAGCTTTTGTTTGTTTACATTTTGTAAACTAATTTTAACGGTAACTTTTTTAGCATAACTTAAAAATTAATAAAAATTTATATATATTCTGTAAAAGAGTTTTTATATAATACATATATATGTACATCTATTACTATCTCAAACGTGCCTTTCGTTCAGTACATCGCCGAGTTGAACTTTTGTAATCCATCCAATTTTTTTTACAATTCAAATGATTTACTCCATGTTTATGCCTTCAACGATTCGTTTAAATCACATATATTTACGAACTAAAAACACATCATATTCTCAGTACTAAACTATGTTTCCAGTATTAAGTCGCTGAGTTCAACTTTTGTAATCCATCCAATTTCTTTTACAATTTAAATTTAATTTCTTGGTCCCTGCCCTCATTTTTCATTCTCCTTAATTTATTCTCTTATGTAGATGTACTATTAGCAATGGTATTAGCAAACAGATGTACACTTTTACACAAATGCCCGAATAGGTCCATTTATATTAAAAAAGCCCACAGTAACGGGACATGAGTCGTTTGGTATAATTGTGGATATTGGTGATAGACCTGTAATAGATTTTTTCTGAAGTGGGAGCAATGCACACAGGGCAGAGATAACATATGTCCAAAATTTCAATTATGTTTATTACCACATATTGATGGTGTATTAAGACGTTTCCATGAGCATTCAGCTGACTTCTGCTTTAAAATTCCCGATCATTTAACAATGAAGATGGGGAGCTCAAGTGGAACCATTTATGGTAGCAACTGCAGCGATACGTCGTGCAAAAATTGAGATTGGAACTGAAGCATTAATACTTGGTTGTGAACTCATTAGATTGGCCACGTTAGCAGCGTTAAGACCACGTTAGTAGTGGTGTGACAAATATATGTATTGCCGATGCCACAGAAAAACGTTTGGAATTAGCTAGAAATATGGGTGCTAATCATACATTACTTACTACAGATAAGGATGAACCTTCGAAGTTAGTAAAAAATATTATTATAAAAATGGGCAATATGCCAAATAGAACATTTGATTGCCATAGTAGTGAAGCAACCACTTGCTTAGGTATTAAAGTAAGTTTAAGTCAATATGTGGATTTTCAAGTCTACTTAAATTTTTAAATTATTTTGAGGCAACTAGATCGGGTGGTGTTCTTACTCTTATCGGCTTAGCGCAGAATGAAATGAAACTACCAATAATGGAAGCTTTATCACGTGAAGTTGATATTCGTGGGTTATTTATATATGCCAACGTGTATAGTTTTTAATAAATTATTTTAACTATAACATACATATAATTAAGTATTATAGATATCCACTTGCATTAGTTCTGATGGCATCAGGTAACGTCAACTTAAAACCATTAATAACATATCATTTTGATTTAGAAGAAACAGAAAAAGCTTTCAAAACTGTTGAATGTCGAATAGAAAATCCAATAAAGGTCATGATTCAAATACAACCTAGAGACACAAACAACAAGGAACCATTTAAATCGAATGGAGACTGTGTTTAGAGTTATCGTAACATTTACACTACTTGCACTATCAGTTAATAAACTTTGTAATCCCAATGCTTGGGTTAATAATATGATTAATAATAATCTTATCATAGTGAAATACATCATATTGAGTTAGTTATTGTAAAATAAAACTGTAATGTATTCGAAATTATTTGTTGAAAATAATAGCAACATATTTTAAAATAATATATATACATTTTAATATTTTTAGTATATTTTAGTATGAGTATTTTTATTAATATATTCTACTTCAAAAAATTCTTAATTAATATACTACTAAAGAAATATTTTTTATATCATACCTATATTATGCGGTTTTTGCCTGAAACACTAACATATTTTATAGAAACATACGTATGTAAACATATGGTGTATGGAAATTGTTCCTATTGATTCTGTTTTAAGTCAAAGTAGTGAATGTGCCAAGACAATTATATTTGTCGATTTTGACAGCGACTGGTTTGCTTTCTGATATTGTTTTGAGTTCCTCCTTATTAACAGTGTTCGCTACCGATTAATATGGTTATTATTAGTATCGATTACTCTACAGATGCTGCATTCATAAGTTAGAACCGATTCAACGCAGAAATTATATATAAGAACCTTTTTTTATATATCTATTATTTCTATATAACAAGATAATCTATATCTTGTTTATTTTATATAACGTGTGTCGTGCTTTTTGAATTTTGACTTCTATATTTTGACTTCATCCATTGTATATGTTTTTCTATCTCGTAACAATATTAGATACATTGCTGTTATCTACATGCAGGCCTAAATCATCGCAAAGACTTATCTAAGAAATGCTTCCATATGTTCCATATGAACATGTAAAGATAATATATTTTATTGTTGAGGAACTATAGGTATTTATAATCTATTATTACTTTTTTTTTGGATTATTTCAAATTCTAAAATCTAAAACTTCCAAAATTACATGAAAGAAATGCTTTCATATGGTACATGTAAAGATAATATATTTTATTGTTGAGGAACTATAGGTATATATAATACATTATTACTTTTGGGATTATTACAAATTATTACAAATTTTAAAATCTAAAACTTTCAAAATCGGAAACTTTCAAAATTAACGAACTGCTTAACATTTTCTTAAAAATGTTTTATATTTTTATATATTATATAGTATAATATAGTATTTCTTGTGAGAGAGGAGGAGAACCGGTACGAAGAAAATGTGTTGAAACAATTAAGTTTATCCCGATCTACTACCATATGCGTCAGCTTACCTTTTAGACTAATACGTTTTACATAACGAAGGAGATCCTAAAATATGGCACATATTGTCTGCGTAGTCTAAGTCATGCAGAAGTTTAAACAGATTTTTTTAAATTTAAAGTTTGAAACACTCATTTTTTTGTCGTTTTCAATACTTAATATTCAATATTTAATAATTTTTTGTGATATTATCGTAGAAAGAGAAGAGATAACACATAGCAGGAATAATATGAATACGTTAAATAGTATGAAATCATTTCAAGTCTCTGTTTTATGGAAGTACCTAGTTCTATAAGTAAAGTATAAAAGATATCACCCCGCAGAAATATCAAGTGATGTGAATTACTAGATATCAAATACTATTAAGAAAAATAGATTGGACAACATACAAAGAAGCTAGAAGGTCTAACAGCACCTTAAATAGCATCCACTAAGGTATGCTTCAAGATTCTTTATTTATTTTCGTCAAGTCGATATCAACTCTTGATAGCAATATCTAGTACTATTGAAAAAGATATTAAAGGTCATTTCACATTTCCCTGTCATTATCTTTATCTAGTATTGTTAATAATAATAGAGAGGAGAACACACTGCAAGGAACATAAAATAATATGATATGATTGTAAAACTATGTTGGCTGTGTTTTTGTTTTATTTTTTTGAGACTAGAGAGACTGAGAAAAGTCTATTTACTTTTTCAATATTTTACCTAAATCATTTTATAGTTACTTTGCTTATTAAAGCAAATACGGAGAACGAAGTCCGGGACGGAATGTCCACTTTTAATTTTTATTGCAAAATATTTTTTTAAAACTCTAATGAGGAAATATTGCCTACATATGTAATTAAATATAATTAAAAAATGAAAGTTTAAAAACCGTTGATTAATTATGGCTAATTTTGGTTTAAGGTCGAAAAGTGTTATAAATTTCCATTTTATAGATAATATCTTGTTGAACTGTACTTATAATGAATTATTTCCGCATGTCGTTGACATAGGAATTGTCCTGTTCAAGATTTAAAATATTACTTCCTCGTTGCATGCGCTATTAACACTTTTGTTTTTTAATAGAAAGTCTCTTTACTGGCCTCTTTATTGTATATACTGTATACGTACGAGTAGACCACTGTGTATAAATGTGGATACTTTTATGGAATGAAATTCAAACATTTGGCAATATGTATATAAAGAATAATTTATTTATTTGTAGTAATACATATTTGCTTAAGAATTGAAATGAAATCCCATTATTTATTGCCTAATTCAAATGATGAGAACATACACATTTGCACAGAAAATCAATCAAGACCTAGCAATTCTTGAGGGATTTCATTGTTAGCACACCATTTGACTCAGGCGGTTTGTTGCTGACACCTATTAAACTCTGCATTGACACTTTAAAAACAGAAAATAATTATGTTTATTTTTGATATCAGCCGTACTTATTGATTGTTAGTTGGATTTTGTTCGCAGTTATGAATTCGGACAATAATAAGTTTTCAACTTTTCTGCAAAAATCAGTTTGAAAGTAAATGTAAATCGCTGCAGTTGTTTCTTGTGAATATGTCGAATTTGTTTTGGATATTGTTTCTAACTCTAAAAGTGTCCAGTGCATTGAATCAAACAGAGAATAAGATTATGACGAAGGAGATCGAAAGTTTCATGTCTCATCCATTGAGTAATATAGCATATATTAATATAATACTGAGATCTGATGTTATTGATGATAATGTGACAATGTATGTGCATTGGTTTTTTGAACATTTTGGAGTACCAAAACTTGTAAGTACTTACACTAAAGCTTCTCTCAAAAGAGAATCAACTTTGGGGGATACCAAGTTAGATGCTGAACGCGAAAGTTTTATAATACACACTAATATAGATCTTCTAAAGCCATTAGTTGAAAAGTACGTACAACGCGCAGATATAGTCATTTTCATACTTTCTGATGACTGGGACATGGATAATTTACATAAAAACTTATATCACATATGGACAACGTATAACATTTTTAAAACTTACATTCTTTCAATGAATGGCATGTTTTTCTTCAATCCATTTGAGTATAATAATGCAGTTAATAGATATGGCAAAGTTATTCAATACTCTAAAGAAAGAAGATTAGATCTTAACTTGCTTAAAGACCTGCAGGGATATCCACTAAGAATTCAAATATTCAAATCAGTTTATGCACGTCCAGTGTTGAATAAACAGACGAGAAAAATTATAGGTGTTGATGGTGTTGATGGAAGAGTTGCTGATCTTTTACAAAAAAGGTTGAACTTTACTATGAAACTCCAAGAACCGGATCCTAATTACTTCGGGTGAGCAATAGAAATAACACAAATAAAAATACTTTCTTTATTATTGATATAAAATATTTTATAGTGAAAGACAGCTAGATGGTACATATAATGGCGCAATTGGTTCAATTATAAAAAAAGAAATCGACTTATGCTTAACTGGATTTTTTATAAAGGACTACATGGTACCAGAATTAGATTTTACAGTTGCTGTTTATGATGACATGTTGTGCATATATGTTCCTAAAGCGAAGCCCATACCTTCATCAATTCTACCACTATTCTCAGTTCGAAGTGATTTATGGATTGGTTTCATCCTGACTGCTTTTATATGTGCATTTATTTGGGCTATAATGCGACGAATTAATCTGTGGCTCAATATTACCAGTAGGACGGATATAAGTATGAGATCAGCTTTTAAATTTCAATTTTTGCGTATTTTAATCGATACTTGGGTTGTGTGGGTGCGTGTTAATATACTAAGATATCCGCCATTTAACTCAGAACGAATTTATATTGCTTCGTTGTGTCTGGTAAGTGTTATTTTTGGTGCGATTTTTGAGTCAAGCTTAGCAACTGTTTACATTCATCCAATTTATTATAAGGACATAAAAACTCTGCGAGAACTTGATCAAAGTGGATTGAAAGTTATTTATAAGTATTCATCTTTTGCTGATGATTTATTTTTTAGCGAAACTTCTCCATTATTTGCAAATTTAAATAGAAAATTAACTCATCTCAGTAATTTGAATGCAGATGTTACTTTAGATATTGCGCAAAACGGTGGAAAGTCTGGCGTCACTAGATACACTTCCTTAATGTTGGAATCTTTACATTTTGTCATATCAAAACAAATTTGGATAGTACCAGAATGCCCAAAATATTACACTATATCATATGTCATGCCACAGGATTCACCTTGGGAAGAAGGTGTTAATGATTTACTTTTACGATTTCAAAGTTCGGGACTGATAAATAAGTGGATACAGGACATGAAAACTGAAGTTAACATCAAAGTTATGAAAATGAATCAATTTCAGTCAGGCAATGTTTTTAAAGTTTTAACGATAAAGGATTTGCAGCTATCATTTTATGTTGTATTGGTGGGAAATCTTTTAAGTGGCGTATCTTTTTTAGTTGAAAAATTTGTACTGCCTCGATATAGGTCTAGAAATAAAAACTAAAATCTTCACATTTTTTTTTAAATGTAGTTATTGTTACTAAAATAGTTGGTAAATTGAAATAAAATATACAAAATGCATATATTTCATATTGTTGTTATGTATAATAATTTTTATCTATGAAAATTTTAAATAAAATGCTTCTATTTAAATAAAATTATAATTTATTGAATTTTATTATACTAGAATAAAGATAATTTGCATATTACAATTGGATGAATCAAATACTCCTGAGCGGAATGCCAATCAGTTAACTGTAGTCACGGTTGCATTGAATCCACTTTTTAATATTCTTTATTCCTCGCAAAAACGTATCATCACCTCCAATTGACAAATAAAGAAAAGGTAGTTTATAAATGTTTTGCATTTACTATTACTCTACCTTCTCTCAACAAATGAATGAATACTAAACATTTCTTTCAGAAAAATCTAAAATGAACAAAACACCAAAATTTGAAGTCCTAGAATCTGATAATAAAAAGCAATATTTACCCGTAGATACTTGAATCAGATAAAGGTTTAAATAAAATAATTGATTGTATCAGAGTTATCTAGTTTGGTGGTAGGGTCTCATGTAGGATCAAATATTTACTTAAAAACACAGATGTATGAGCATGAGTATACCGTCATAAACCTCTCTCCGGTCAGAGTCTCAGTTTTTGGCAAACAGGGATAGTTGAGGTTGATATTTGTACAGAAAGACTAGATGGGTGCACCTTTTGCTTCAATCCATAAATTAGCAGTAATCAAGACTATAAAAATGGAACCAAAAGGCACACAATTAATTACTTTTGAAATATACAAGTAATAGTAAAACGAAATAAGAGATTATCTATAGTTGAATTATCACATTAAGTAAGGGTCTGAAGACCCCCAAATATGAATCGAATAAGTTCATTTACACGTATTTTTATCCATTATTAACTTATTACAACTTTGGAATAGAACAAAAAGTATTTGTTAATTTTCAGAAATCATCTGAAAGCCGGAAATGATCGAAGTAATTTTCTAGCTATAGGCCTCTTATACATGCAATCAGATTGAGTCCGTAATATTGTGTTCGTTGCATTGAGATAATCGCGAAATTAAAAAATCATTTCAGCATAGAAAGATATGAGTTAAAAAATAAAGTGAAATATTGAAGATAGTGAAAAGGCAAAGCCTGGAATATTTCATACCTTTGAGCACAAAGAAAAATACGGTATATTTAAGTTGACCATGGTACATGACTTTAAAACAAACGGCAGTGGTTCAATAAAAATAGAACTTTACTATCGACAACACAGAACTTCGCTATGAAGCCAATGCTCCAGCTAATAAGATACTCAAAAGGCAAAAAAGAATTTGTATAGATTATTCAAAATAATAAAATTAATACTTGTTTTTTCATTTCAAATGTATATAAGAAACATAACCTATTCGGACATTTTTATTATCAATTTATATTATGCAGCTTACCTTAACTACTACAGAAAGTATCAGACGTATTCTACTATCCAGAACCAATTTCTTAAATTAAAATAAAGCTCCCTCAAATTATTATATATGTCCCTCAAGTAAGATAAGAAATTAAGTAAGATAAGAAATTTGCAACTAACATCCACAAAATCTTCAGCTCCTCTCTATATTTTCTAATTTTAGAAAACAACTTTTGTATCATTGTCATCGTCTTGATTAATATTTTGACATTCTCCTCACTAAGAGGAGAATGTGGTTAAATAGAAAATGGCAACGATATGTTAAAATCTGCTCTTAGAATCTTTTTGGTGTAAACATAAACAAGACTTGCAGAGTAAATCTGTGTTGAAATCAATTAAGCGTCGTATTCCAACCAATGCTATTCCAATACAGACCTTCTAACTCTGCGAGAAGCACTGCAACTCGTTCGACCAGCTGTCATCGCTTATCTTATAAACACGATTATCATATGAAATATAAAAAAGCTATTATTTTAGCAAATTTACTTGTATGTCAAACATATGGATATCCAAATATCACAGTGATGAGTACAGCAGCAGTTCTTATAATTTACTAAATCTGAAGATCCTAACATTCGTAACTTGAATGCATCAACAACTATCACAGTGGATAGCAAACGAAAACTACTGCATTGATATAATATCTTCGAAACTTTGAACGCATTGAAATTATCAAAAACGAAAGAACTTCTTTTGTCGAACCAAAAAATATGCTCCAGATTGAGCCTCGTAGTAATGCTGAGTTTCTATCCCCATTCTATTCATCTTCAAAATCCTCCTTCATACATTCATTCAACACTCACTTTACTATGTTAAATTTGTAGCAACCATTTCCTTCTTTTTCCCTTTAATAAAGTCTCGAAATTTTATATTATCTTTCTGATTGTCACATCGTGGTTATAAACAAAATAGTACTCGTATAATGACATGAACTATGCAAAAACTGTCCAAAGTTCAAAACACTTTAAATAAATAAAGTAAAAAAATCAAAATAAAAATTTTGATTTTATAAAATTGACGTTGAGAAGAGAATAATGTTACTTATGAAAACTTTATTGATTTGACCGATTTTAGATACATTTTTACAAAATCGCTTCAGGTTTTATGAAAAACTGATAAACACAGATTTTTTGGCTATTATTTTTAAGATTCATATGCATTAATTCGTTCTATAACATCATCGTAAATAGTTTCCTTAACATCTATAGCCCAAAGGTAATCAAGATGATTCCAGTCTTCGTATTTAACGTGATGTAAATCAACATTTCTTCCCAACTCATCGGCCAATTGTTCTACATCAACAACGGCAGCAAAGTAATCATTGTCACTGTAGTAGAACTGAAGTGGAGTTAATGGACGGATATTCTCAATAAAGTAATCTGGTGGATTCTTTTGTTTGTAATAACTCTTGTTTAATGTTTTGCCGTGATCATATTGTCGATAATGACCAGAATTAAATTCTTGAAGATAATGAAGTAATTGCTTAGTAGATGAACCAGCTGGATGCGTTTGGCATATTTCAGGCATTAAAGTCTATAAATATAATAAGCAAAAAATTATTTATAATTCCACAGATATTATCACTAACTAAAACTTACTGAGTTGAGATGTGAAGAGTCCCATCCACCCATTAAGAATAAAATGTTTTCGCACATAGGTTGGAAAATTGCTTTATCTTTGCAAGCCTGACTTCCGAGCAATGATAATAGTTTATTGCTAGGCATAAATTCGCTACTACCGATCAACTCACTTAAAAGTGTTGGTTGTCCCAAAAGTGGTGCAGCAATGATAGCAAAAGGAGATGTCATATGAGTCATATAACCGACAGGAGCCAACATATGAGCTGTTTTGATTTTACTGTTGTATCGTGGCAATTGTGAAAGCATGACCATAAAAGCAGTGGTGCCTTGGGAGTGTCCAACATAATGCAATTCACGTTCATCGGTTATAAAGAGTACGTAGTCTAACATAGTTGGTATATCATGCAGACCAATTTCGTGCCAACTGAAGTCCCAGAATGGTGGCAACCATGACGATTTGGTGGTATGATCTTTAGAATATGTGTTGCCACGTGCATTACCCATCCAAACATCAAAACCTTCGTCCGCCAATAAAAACGCTAATGCATTTTCTGGCCCATTTAAAATCCAACAATCGGAACTACTTAAAAGACCATGTTGAAGGAAAACCACGCCTCTGGGTTTGTTTTTGTTGTTTAACTTTGGAGAGTAAGGTATGCGAAACAGTGTTAAAATATAACCGTCACCGGTTTGTACTTCATGCGTTTCTGAAGGATAGCCATAAGCTTGCACTCTATCGGACTACAGAAAATACAATTGAATCAGTTATATTGCATATTGCATCGAAAATTCTATTACTTACGGTAGTCAGAAATTTACGCGCCTCTGGTAAGGGCGTTCCCGACACTGCAACTATAACTACAGCTGCCAACAAGTATTTTAACATTTTTATTAGGCAAATAATTTGCACAGTACTAAAAAAGATATTCGCTGAGAAAGTCTTTTATAGGTTTATATTTCTTATCACATTGATTTTAAATATCGATAACGTCACTCAAACGATTGAACTCCTTGCGCTTATCAATGAATATTAATTTGGATTTCTTTATTGGCATAAGCAATATAACATCAATTATCAGTCTATTATCACTGAGGGGGGTTGAATTGACTGGGAATTATAAATTAACCAAAAGTATATTTTATATTTGTTTCTCAAAACAACTGCTAATGAACAACTAAAGTATCATAATTGCAAATTGATAAAGCTTTCTACGAGCGACCACTTAGCTTAGACTTTATCTTGCTTGTTCTTCATAATTTATTGGATACAGTTAATCAATGAACTGATAGACCACGCTTTTTGCTTTACTAACTTTTCCAATTACGTTATTTGCTTCTTATTTTTAGTAACGCCATAATTTACTGAACGTTTTCCGTTCCAGTAGAGACTAAATCAGTTAACAGTTTGGAATTCGTTAGTAGAACAGCTGCACTATTTTTAGAAAATACTCGGAACACGAAAAGTGATAAACAAATAGTTTGGCAGCGATTTAAATCAAAATAATACTGATATCTTATAATGGAGAGTATGACTTTCTATTTTGTGAGCTATATATTAGTATTTACATCGCTTTGTAATTAAAAACAAGAAATATCTCCAAGACCACTGATGATGGGTGTTTGGCAATAATCGAACAAGCTGTATAGGCAGCCAAAAACTCAATTAATTAAAATAATATTAAAAAGAATTTTTGTTGTTGTAGTTCACTACTGTTCCAAAAACCTCTTTATATAAAAGATTTAATGAAAGCTAACATTCAACTCTTATTTATCACAAAAAATACCATTTTAAGAATTTGTGTAGTTGCTGTTTTTATATAAGAAGGTAAGGGGCTAGTGTTAATACTAAAGAACTAAGACTATAGAGAAATAACTACTAAAGTCATATTAGTATCCAATTAGTATAATAAGCCCCCTTAATTTCGTTTTTGAGTTACACACATGATAATAGCACAATAAATATTAAACACAACTTACTTAAGAACCGATTCTATAGTTTTATGCAAGTTATAAAATGGGACCATCTATGAAATACAAGAGAAGCGATGACAGCTAAGATATTTAAGATATTTAACTAAGAAAATCAAACAAGAATAAAGCAATTAGGAAGTTTATTTTTTATAAATAACATTGCGTGATTTTTGGTTTCATAATCAGAAAGAAATCCAATCATTTTTGGTAGCTTCTAGTGAAAATAAAATTTGATTAATGGTGCAGTATTATACACGTATTTGTTAAATAAATACAGCACTTAATTATTCATTTAACACTATTTAATGGCTGATTCCTTTTGGATTATGCTTAAAATGAAAGTGTCATCAAACGTGAACGCACCTCAAAGCCACTCATACATGGCGCATCTGAATGAACTGCAACTCTTCAAGAACCAAGCGTACAAGAGAAATAAATTGCAAACTTTTGAAGCAAAAAAATCAAAAGTTTCAATAAAAAAAATATTGGCACATCTTGGAAAAGAATATTGTGATATTTCATCTCTACACTGTGTACATTATTTGACTGACAATGGAGTGCAGAAATTTGAAAAGTAATTAAAAGTCTATAAACTGCTACATAACATATTATATCATATATAAAGTTGAACTTTCTCTTATTTTGGGTAATCCACAGAGCAATTTGGTTTCTTATACTTGTGGCAACATCTATAGGTGCTATATTAACTTACTTTGAACTGGCCGATTTATATTACACACAGCGAATACAGACAACTATTATGAATTCGGTCCATCCAATATTCTACATCTCATTTCCATCAATTGCCATTTGCGCCCGTAATCGCATTAACTATGAACGTCTAAGTGCAGCTCGCTCGCTTTTTCTGCCTTCCAATGTTTCTAAGGAGAGCATAGATGTTTTTAACACATTTTTTGAACATTTTGAAGATTTGAGATTTAATAAAATTTCTCATTTGGCAAGACTCTTCAACAACGCAACCACTGAAAAGCAACTATCGCTTATAAAAGATGTTAATGTTCTGGAAGTCGTAAACTTTCTCTCTTTTACCTGCGAGGAATTATTTTCAGATAAGTGTTATTGGCGTCGAAAGTCATATAATTGTTGCGATTTATTTACCATGGAGCGAACCGAAGTTGGATTTTGTCAAGTTTTTAATTCCGTGATTGATAAAGGTAAAAAGGAAAGAAAGGTAAGCTCAAATAGATACTTAAACAGAACTTAAATTCTTCTTCCAATTTAACTGTGCTTAAACGTAAGAAAAGGGTAAAGACAGGTTAAACGTTAAAGAATAGGTTAAGATAAGTTGTGAAACTGTTTACAATATAATAATTTATTATCATTGATATTTTTCTAATTGGAGTATTATAAATTTTACTAATACTCGTACCACTCGTAACACAGTACTTGAGGGAATATGCCGTAGATACGAAGATTTACATAGGTAACTCTGACTCACTGAAGTTATGGGCAACGCCATTGACCGATTTATTTTATATAGTAGAAATAGTTAAGTATTCTAGTACTATGTTGCAGTTAGACCATAGCGTATTTAGATATAACGTACAGAGACAGTAGTAATCAAGGGAAAATAAAAATATAGAATGAGAAACCCGACGAGACCCGAAGAGAACGAAAAGAAAAGTTTCAGAAATATACATATATAGATATGAATATATTTATTTTCTTATTCTTATTTAAATTTTTATTCTATTATTTTTGTGAGGTGTGATTAATTTAAAATCATAACAGTATTATCTAGTGAAAAACTAAAAAACTATATAATTCAATGAACAAGAATCAGTAGAAGATTTCAGTGAGATAACGTTCACAGAATGCTTGATATATGAAAATTGCTTTCCAGAGAATTATAAATAAAAAAAAAGAAACTGAAAAGGCATCATCACTGAATAAAAATCAGCTAATATTTTAATAATTGTAGTAGTTTCAGTTAGTTTTATGTCAGATAATCGATCTGATTTTTAAAAAATTTGAAAATCTTAATAAACTTCAAGACCTCCCACTAAACAACAATTAAAGCTTCGCCAAAGGTTCCAGATGGTTTTAAACTTCAAGTTTTTCTATTACATGATAGCACAATGGGCCCATAGACCTAATTAGATCCGCTTTGGATCGCCGGTATAACCTAATCTAACTACTTAACCAGTTTAACAAGTCAGTTAAATCGTGTTTCATCGTTAATTGCTTTTGTTATTATGAAAGACATATAGCAAATTTTGCCAATTTTTTGGTAGCGGTGCTAATGAAGTTATGGCTATCACACATATAATAATGGCAATGCTTTTATATAGCCTTTAAAGCCATTCTGTAGCTCATATTTCAAATGGCATGCGTATATTCTTCACGTGTGAGGTTGTTATCGTTCCAATGAAAAAAATTTAGTTAAGTCTATAAAATTTCATTTAATTCTAATCGATTAAAAAACCCAATACATGAATTTTACAATTACTTATACAGTATGTCATTTAGCTCGTTCTGGATTTACTGTGTTAAAGTTTCTGAAAAGACGTTGCCTTAAGGTGGACTATCTTATATGAGTACGAGAAATATACTGAAATAGACCCCTGTTTTAATGGTTTATTAATAATTTTTTTGTGATTCCAAAATTAAGAGATATCTTAATGGTGAACAGCTTTACCACACTTTTTAACCTGTAATTAATTTAATTCAGCTGTAATTAATTTAAATGGTTTGGGTAATTCTTGCCTATGACAATTAACAAAACAAATTTAAATAATAATAATGACTCAGTTTGTTTTTATATAAACTGGAATTTGTAATTTTTTTTAAATGTTTAATAATCAAAATTGATCAGCGTGCTCTTATCAAGTGTTATATGTATAGATGTATAGATTATCAAATTAATTAAAAATATAAGTACGTGTTGAAGTAGACTGTAGATTAATAAAATGATATTCATTATCAAATGCAATATATTTTAGAAAAATGATAAATACTATCCATACCATAATGCTGAGTCTGGAGAAAGTTCCGGTTTAGAAGTGGATATCATATTGGATGAAGCAAAAATGAGACCAGGCTTCAACGCTACCAATGGTGTTTATGTAAGAAATATCTTATAGGACAAGTATACAGTTTCATATGAATTAATTTTAGATAATGATCAAACAACCTGAACAATGGCACAATGATGCGAGATTCATAAATTTCAATACATATACAAAAATTGCTATAACAGCACAGCTAACCGAAACGGAAGAAAGAGCTCGAGTTGTTCCAGTAGAGGAGAGAAAATGTTTCTTTGAAGTAGTGTTTTATCAAATATAGTATTTTGGTATATTAAAATGTCGTTTCTGTTTATACTTTATTCATGCTAGGATGAATCTCATCATCCCTTGTATAAGAAAATACCGGAATTACTTTATTGGAGAGGTAATTGCCGCACACGTTGTCATCAGGAATACGTAGTTAAATATTGCAATTGCAGTCTTAGTGTATTTTTTCCAAAATCCAAACAAGGTAAATGTAATAATTACTTCTGTGTGGGTAGCTTACCAAAATTACCTATAAAATACACGAATTCTTCATTGAGAAACATTTTAAAATTACTTCTAAAAACTAATCAATGATGTTATCAGTTCAGGCACAGACAATAAAATTGGGTGATGTAAGTCTCTCCATGATATCACAATAGCTCACAAAATTATGTGAGTTCAAATTGCTTCCAATAATGAAGCGCTACAATTATGTTTTTAATGTTTTTTTTACCTTGTTTTACCCCGGGACTAAGTTAGTATTACTTCGAGGTAGTGCACCTGCCAGTCATTCAACTAATCACAGGATCTTTTCAGCAAAAATTACTATGCGATCCCAGTTTGTTTTAATTTCATTCATTTTTCATTTTTTCCGTCTACGTCCTTGAGCAGAAAGCACCAACTTGCGCCGCTAGAACTTCTCGTTCCGGTACCCACTTATTGCACTCAAAAAATGTGTGCTCTGTGGCATCATGCTTAGCTCCGCAATAATGTTTATAATAATAATAATAATAATAAATATTATAACCTTATGTTGATTATTTATACAAAAAAACTATCACAGCCATAATTTTTTTTATAAAATATCGAATAGATAATTTCACGGACTGCAGAGCTACGGACTTCAAATGTATCTATACCCACAATAGTAAGTAGATTTAATTAATTTCAATCATTTTATCTGGTGTTTAACTTTATGTCATTTAATATTGTAGATATATTTAGCTCAGAGCATCACGTATTTGAAAGTGAATATATCGATGATGTAAATACTGAATCTATGATCTGTAATTGTCTCAATAGCTGCAATCAGTTGATCTTCGACTATTATTTTACCAGCGTACCACTGGAAGGGTAAGCAATAAGTTCTAATTAATATACTAATTAAATTAAATGTCTATCTTTTAGAATCAATGGCAGTGATAAAATTAAAATGATTCACCTTGACATTCACTATCAAACAGCAAATATCATCAAGTACAGCACACGAATGCGCTTTACATTTGTGGAATTATTAGGTGCGTTAAAGTATTAATATATTTGTAGTTACATAAATATATCTCTATATCATCCATAGTAAAAAGATCAAACACATCGATATCTTTGACTAACATATTTTTTTCACTAATTTATGCTAAGACTAACTGATTGAGAGTTTCATGAGTTTTATTAGTTTATATCTTTACCCAACCAAAATTATATATAGCTTGAGTTCTCAAAAAATAGATTATAGCATGTGTAATTAAAAAAGAACAAATGAACATGTAATTTTTATTTTTAATAACTTAATTATTGGTTTTCAAAAGTTTGACTCTCCGCTGTAATGGTCTATATGGACTAGGCATTTCAATTCTAATTTTAAGAACACAATAGAAATTTGGATAGGATATAACAATGTCATATATAAACCAACCATGTCTCTCACGCATAAGTTTCGTCACATAAAAAATTTTTTGTTGTTTTGATATACCAGATATCGTCTAATATCGATAATATATGACTAATGTTGAGTACGAATCTAGAGAGATTATATGTTTGGGACACTCAAATCATTATCAATAAGCAATTGTTCTTATATAAAAATTGAATTTACACTCCTTTTTAATCAACAACCTAGCATATTTGTGGTTTTATAATCAAATTTCTATATAAAACATATAAATGAACCAGTAAATGTGATGAAACACTATACGATTGTGAATATGTTAGAATTGATGTACAATTCATGTAGAAACTCTATAGTGACATACTGACATAGCATACTATTATATCAAAATTTATTTAGCCAGGTCAAGAATTTACAGTAGCATATTTAGTTAAATTACAAACTAAGTGTACACCCATTTCCATAAATAGCTAGCTACCTGATATTTAATATATATATCCCTGTTATAGGTCTGTTTAAAATTGATAGTGTAACATAACTGTTCCTTGGAGATTGTTTATTGAAGGGTTCAGGACAATTCTAGAAATATTTGCCAAGAATATTCCAAACAGATAACTGTGTAATTAAGTTTCAATCGCAGAGGGACTGATATTGATTATGTTTAATAGGTTTAGAATTACTTCATTATTTAACATGTAAATAAAAAATAGAAATATCAGAAATATCTTCTAATTACAAACTCTTAAAAACTTAACTTTAATTTTTTTTTTTAATTATTATTTATAACAAAATTCAACTTATTTTATATTCAATTTCAGCTAGCTTTGGCGGCATAATAGGACTTTTTCTTGGAGCCTCATTGTTAAGTGCCATAGAGTTGGCTTATTTCTTGACAATCGGTGTGTATGCTCGTCTACGTAAGCAGTATAAAAATAAACCACTTCCAGTTACAACAGTGAAGCCTACATATTATCAAAATGATTTAAATCCATATAAAAATAAAATTATTAATGTTAAATTTTAATAACTATGAATATTATTAAAAATTCAAATTTAAAAATAAATTACGAGACACTTATTCCATTACGCTATATGTCGATGAAGTCTGGTCTTTTTAAATCATTTTCAACTGTTAAGTGATTAATGTTTAGTGCTTATGTTTTCAGTATATGCTCCAAGCTTGTGTGTCGGTTTTCTCTATTAATTGCAAAGAGTGAGGTGGATCTTTCAGATCGAAGTTTCTGTAAATCACTCTCGGACACTTCGTAATAGGCACAAATTAAAATAGGTCAGAAGCAAGTTATTCCATTATGCTATTTATCGTTAAACTTGATACACGAAACAACAACTATACGAGTCATTATGCATCGTCTTGTACAGGATATAGTTGGATTATGGTAAGTAGAAGATTGTCCTTTAATTCTTTATTTTTAAAAACTGGCAAAAACCGTTCTTGGAATCATTAAATTTAAACCCAGACTTTGGGCAGTACAAGCTTTAAAGCTTTGTGTAGCTTTCCCATGAATTTCAACATCTTTATTATACTACGGTCTTTGTTATGATGTCTTTATAATATTACGGTATTTGTTTCTACGCCTTTAAACATTACGGTCTTTGTAGCAACGCAAATAATAGTGTGGACACAGTTTCTAAGGTGGAAGCATCTAGATCTCATTCATGCAGCCTTCATATCCTACTAGCTAACAATAGAGGGCAGCTTTTCATATTTTTCGTATCTGTAAAGGACTCGTAGAAATGAAGATGCAGAGAGAACTGTCCTTTGTAAATAAAAAGTTACATTTTTTTATAAAATTTAATAAATATAATAAATAAAGAAATGAAATAAATAAAATAACTGAACTGTGTAAAGTACACTTAATATTAAACGCAAAGACCGTATTACATATTACGGTATTTGTTAAGAGTAAGTAAAGAGGTTGATACATGTCTGCCTTCAATTAGTATCACAACTATCTTTATTAAAATTAAAATAAATAAATAATTATTTCATTTTACTTTAATAAGTAAAATTTAAAAAATAGAATAAAAAAATATTTTTATTACTTTAATAAGGAACATATATACATAAACATAGGTAGAAAAAATTCAAGACCTGAACTAACATTTTTTTAGGAAAGCACTCATAGAGAAAATGATTAGTAAAAAAAAAGATATATTTTATTAGAAATTATTTATTTAAAATTTATTTTTTCAGCTGTAGCACAACTTACAGTAGATCTTGAAATTAGCTATCAGGAAACATCATTCATATATCATTCAACAATAAGAACCGAAATTATATTATATCACTTTTTAATCATTATTTATTGAGTTAAATTGCTTATGTGAGTTTACTATTAGTCTATGCAAAAAAAAAAAAAAATATTCTGTAAATTCAGCAAAAATAAAAAAGTATTATGGCGATCTTAATCAATATCAAGTATTTATTTGTGATATAAACATTGTCAAACAGTCATCCCATGCGCCTGCATTAACTGATCACCCCAAAAAACATCCAAACAGTGACTCAAATCATTTTGAATAATCGTATAGTTAAGATCAGTGAAATGACTGATATATTAAAGATAGCAAAAGACTAGGCGAAGTTGTGCTTATAATGTATATAGTTTTTGTTCATAGTGGACTAAAAATTGCATCTTTTTATAGTACACTAGATTTAAAGTATTATTTAAAGTATTCCGGTGATCATCTGATTGCAAGAAAAAATAAAGTGGTTGGTCCAAAGCGAAGAAAAACTCTCACATTCGCCTATAGTATTATAACCTCCATTTTGTATGTTGAAAGAAAGAAAGCTCCAAATTAATTACATCAAATAGTAAATATATAGGCCATATATATATTATATAAATATATAAGGACCCGAGTTCGATTCCTGGTACTTGCAGTCTGAAAAATAATTATTTACGAATAATTAAATATAAGAATTATTTCCAAGACCACTGATGAAGGGTATTTGGCAATACTCGAAACAGCTGTATGGTCAGCCAAAAATTCAATTAATTAAAATAATTTAAAAAAAAAAAAAAATTAATTTTTGTTGTTGTTTCACTTCTGTTCGAAAACCTCTTTATATAAATATATAATATAATAAATATATTGTAAATATAATATAGGTCTCATATAATAAAAAAAATGACTTCTTTTAACAAGATAATTCTGACAATGCATATATCACAAATCATTGATTATGATGGTCAAACTACATGGTAATCGTGAATTAAAAAACCGACGAATGTGGTACTCAGTTTACCTTCTTCTGGGTACAGACACGTACTTCTGGGCTATACAGAATAATTGATAATAATAATTATTATTACTGGAATGGAATAATTACTGTCACCTGTAAATTTTTTATTAAAGAATAGTGTTGTAAAAAATACTTACAAGCTTTGGGTAAACGAAAGTAATTGCTTCATGAAAGATATTCTTTAACATTGAAGTTAATACGGCCGCAACTCTATAGTAAAGGAACGAATGGAATTACTCAACATTCCAAGAGAGGATACTTTTAGGGTCGTGGGTAGCAAAACCAGTCACTAGTTATTTTACTGGCAAACTAAAAGTACGCTTTTGAGCAAGAAAAAAAAACATTCTTCAAACATTTCTATAGCTAATCAAATCTAGCTTACAACAGTGTCAGCCTCTAGAGCAAATAAGTTCTAAGCTCGCTTACAAAAGTGTTCAACTCTAACATTAAACACATCTTGATTTTTTTCAGGGCTTTGATATTGTTCCGTATATGAAATGAGTTAAAGTTTAATGTTGAGCAGTCGTATCACGGTATATTCCTAAGGTCTAAATGTAATGGTCAGTTAAGCTGACTGCCACAGTATGTTGACCTAACCCAACCTAACTTCAGTCTAAGAAAAAAGTGATTTCAATTACACTGTCTTGTAAATATTTTTATCAATAAAAACAAGAATTATTCTTGGTGTTTTTTTATGTTTTTAATTTTATTTATAATATTCTTGTTAAGTTTAAAGAATAGATAATTAGTTTTGTTATATTGTTAAATTGTTAGTTTTTCATTGTTTTTGCTGTTGTTTAAGATTATACAAATTAACATGAAAAATGAAAATTACATAATTTCCATTAATATACTTTTATTTTATGTACTTAAAATTTTACACATATCAATATTTTGCATTTTGTTTTTAATAATAATAATAATAATTATTTTTTTTTTTCATTTCTTTGTGTTGTTTTTAAAAGTTAAATTCAATGTTTATATATATTTATACTCTTCTACTTTATAATTTTTTTACCAATACTTGCAAATGTTATTCACGATTTTTTTTTCTTTTTTGGTTTTGTTAATTTAATTAAATTTGATTTTTGTATTTGTATTTGTTAATATTTTTTCTTATAATATTACAAAGAATTTTAAGAAATTTTTGCATTTAAAATAATTTACCTACGAAATGGATTAAATTATATTTTTACACACAATGAGCCAATTCTGCTCTGCTACTTTTCAACGATAAATTTCAAATATTCACCATACGGCATACAGCATAATTTGTTTAGCGATCATGGTGAATACAGAATCGTGGTGTATAAAAATTTCAGTGTTATTCAGTACAAAACTTAAGAAAATGCAAAGCTTAAAAGCTTAAATGATTGAATATTTCAAAGTATGTGAAGTGGTGAAAAGATAAGTCTTTTTCAGTGAAAATTGATTTTATATTTGTTTCATTATTTTTAATTTTTTTTTGTAATTTATATTTTTGTAGATATAAATAAATATTTTATTTTACACACACACAAATTTATAATTTAATTATGTTAAAGATATTTATATTTTCTTTTGTATTTTTTTTTTATTATAATATAAATTACTAATTATATAATTAATTAATTTTGTAAAGCTTTATTTTTTATCTATTATATTTATATATTTCATTAATTTAAACTTAATCTTTTTGTTATTTATATTATATATTTTTAAAATTTAATTTTGTTTTTATTTTTTATAATAAAAAAAGGAAGAGGAGACGAAAACTCGTTGCTGCATTCAATTTGCTAAGTGTTCCTTATATATATATATATATATAATTATTTTAATGTAAATATATATATTTAAGTTATATATTTATAAATGTACTGTGCTTATGAGTAGTTAATTTTAAATTTTTAATTTTATTTTTATATATATTACCATTACTTAATTTGTTAAAAAATTATGAATTTAGCAGTGTAAAACTATTACATACATATACATATATTTATACTATATATATATATGCATATATACAATTGTTAGATACACAAATTTTTTTGAAAATGTTTGTTTAATTAAAATATAGGCTAAGAAATAATAATTAAGTTTACTTAGAAAAATAATTTATTTTGTGTTTCACACTGCAATAGAACATTTGTGTATATATAAATTTTTTTATATTATTTTAATATTATTCTTTAGTAAAGGTGTTAGATTTCTTTTTTATATTTATATAGTTTTATAGATCTTTTTTTTTTTTGTTTGACTTATACGTTTTTTGTTATAATTTAGTTTTTTAAGCTATACTTTGAAGGCTTATAATTGCTTTTTTTCCATTTTTGTCAATCTTCAACCATATTAAAGAAAGGTTTAGTATAAAAAATTTAGTTAAAAACGCAAGAACCTCACATTTAATAATTTTTATGAAAGCAGAGTATCACGTTAAAGAGACTGAGAAGTATAATTTTGAATCCTTCCCGCCTCCGACTGTAGTTTGATTTTTCATTTATCCTTTAGCCGTCGTCTTATAGAAATGTTACAAATGTTTTATCTATATATAAACATTATATGTATGACTACTTTATATTTAGATATATACTATATATGAAATAATTCATAAGTATTTTATATCCAAATTTAAAATACATATACGAAGGTCAAAGCCTGTTGGAGAAGACATGTTATTTTGTTACCTTTAAATAATAGTACATCTCTATAGTTTGCAAATACGGATTCAGTAAATGAGAATATATTATTATAGAGAAAGCAAATGCAAATATTTAGAAGATCAACTAAATTTATAATAAAATTAAATTAAATTAATTTAATTTACATTTTTATGTTTTCAACACACTTGAATAGGTACAGTTTGCTAATGATTTTCATATTATTATTAATTTTATTCTTTATAAAATACATTTTTGATATATATATATATAAATATATTCAATTTGTATGTTTTTCTAATTTGCATAATCGGTAATACGTATACCATATATGTATATATAATATATATATTTGACATATTTATAGGTGGTTGCACATTTGAGGTTTTAATAATTAATTTATTGATTACTAATCTTTGTTCAATTATTGAAATTGTAAATTAGCGGTAAAATTAAATGTAGGAATGAGAAAATAGAGAATAGAGTTTTAGGTAGGTAGATTGAAAATGGACCCAATGAAAATGCGAGTCCTCACATAAAGATATCTTAAAAAGTTCTATTGAAATGTATACAAGTATATGAAAACTCCAATGTATGATAATTGAACATTTTGAAAGCATTTATTCCCCTTTTTCTACTTCACTTTTGTCTCCACCATAAACTATTCAATAACATAACCATGTATAGTCTAAATCTGTTTGAAAGGATATCTGTAGCCAACATAGTGAGAAATATAAGATGATCTTTGTACGGTTCGACCTATTAGAAAATTTATATATTCTAAAATTTTACTGTCTGAAGAACCTGATAGCTGCATGCATATGGAGAACATGTTACTTTTTGCTCGAATGGTGGTAAGTTAATTTCGATATAAATCAGCTATTTCTGGTAATATGGACCAATGGAACTGAAAAAAAGACCTCAAATCATTTCTCTTAATGGTTAAATTTTAAATAAAATTCCAATTCGATTCGTTTTTGTTATGTATTTAATAAAATTTTTCCTTTCAATCGAAATTATGCTTGCTAGAATTACAATGAATTTTTATTGTTTATATGTATTAATAAAAGTTGATTTTTTAAACATAAGTTATAATTATTTTATATTTAATATTATTTATTTGTTTGTTGCTGTGTAATACCACACCAATTAAATGATAAAAACGTATTTTTTACTTTTACATTTACTTTTCAAATTGGGAAGAAAACTAATTTAATTTAATTTATTAATTAAAATTTGTAGTTATCATTTGATTAAGAATAATTGAGATTAGTTTATTCAAGTTACATCGTATCATCCGGGATATTATATTAAATTAAAAACTGTATTTAATATTTTATTTAATAGTAATATAAAACCAACAGGTAATAGTTCCTAAAAAATAAGTAATACAAATTAAAAATTAATTAATTTATAATTAATAAAAATCATTTTAAATTAATAGAAATAATTTTTAATTAATAATAATAATTTTGAATTATTAAAAATAATTTTTAATAACTAAATATATGTATATTTTTATTTAATAAAAATAATTTCTAATTATTAAAATAATTTTCTTAATAACTAAAAATTATTTTTAATTACTAAAAATAATTTTTATTTAAAAAAAATGTTATTATTTATTTTATTTAATAAAAATTATTAGTATTTATTTTAATAAATATTATTTCATTAATAAAAATATATTTTTGATTAATAGAAATATATTTTAATTAATAAAAATATATTTTTTATTAATAAAAATGTATTATTAATTAATTAAAATATATTATTATTTAAAATATATTATTAATTAACATATATTTAGAATTACAAAAAATACATTTTAATTAATAAAAATATATTTTAAAAATACATTTTTATTCCTTAAAAATACATTTTATATTAATAAAAATTCATTTTTAATAAAAAAAAACCGTTTTGTTTATTAATATTATAATTTTACTATTACGGTAGATTACATTATTCATGTGTCCAAACTCTCAGTTATCTACTGACTAGAGCTTCGTACCTGTCATGGATCCATAACCATTTTCATGGTTACAGACCCATGCCCAAGTTGTATTACCTAATGACAATACCTGGAGACACGGTAATATTTAATGAAATATTATGAATAATATTAAAAGTAAAATATTCATTCAATAAAAGAAACTAAATTAAATATTTAAAAAACTAAAAAAATGCCCGGTGATTTCCGTCTTTAGCAGCTGCAATTGTTTTGTTGCACATTTTTTTCAGTTTCAGAAGGGAAAAAATAATGGTGGAAAAAAACCCTTTTTCAAATTGAATCTTAATCTATATTTCTAGCTGACAATTTCCTTGGATGTATTTAGTATATCTACAATTTTAAATGTACATTAATTTTAATTCAATCTAATTAAAGCCTATAAAAGTAGAAAATTATTAGACAAGTATAAATTTTGATTATTTATATTAAAAAGACGAGAGTAGATAAAAAAAAAACAATATAGAAAGAATAATTTAAAAATATTTTCGATACGAAATTAAATGAAAACAAAAAAAACCTGAAGTGCATATCCATTTTTTTCTGATTTTCTAATCGATTCTCAATATATAATATAATATAATATATAATATATAATAGAATATATAATAGAATATATAATATAATATATAATATAATATATAATATAATATATAATATAAATATAATATAATATATAATATAATATAATATATAATATATAATATAATATAATATAATATAATATATAATATAATAATTATATACTTAATGTACACTTGACCCTTAAAGCTGAGTCTACAGCTGCAATCTCAGAAGCGAAAAAAGGTGAAGACAGCAGTTAATGACCACTCCTCATCAACTCACTTAACTCAAAGCTTCGATGAGAAGAACCTGAAGAGTTGCGGTACAGTTTCAACACAAATAAGAAATACTTATATCGATGATTAAATATTAATGGAAATTTATTCTTAAAAACTATTTTAACGTAGCCTATTTTGGCGGAGCCACATAAAGCAGAGCTTCTTCAGATAGTTTTCTTTTAAGCACACATTGACGTTTTAGTTTTGTTTCTAATTTAAAAGACAATTAGCATACACATATTTTTTGTTTTTTTTTTTTTGGTTTGTTTTGTTTAGTATGTCCATGACAAAAGCAAAGTTAAATGTGTGTTCGTGAGTATGTGTGTGTGTACGTGTATGATTTTAATTGTGTGTTCTGAAAATAATTCATTTACTTATAACATTAATATAATTTATGTTTTTTCTGCTTTTACAATTTTTACTTTTTAAGATATTTTTAAACAATTTGTGTATTTCATCCGCTTTCACATTAAAAATTTCGTTTTTCGTTTTTTTTTTCTTGAATTGTAATTTTTAATTATAAACTATTTTGTTATCTTAAATGTTAATTGTTAAAAATGTTTGCCGCCATTTTGCTTTAATTATATTAACTATCATTTTACAAAACTTGTAGTTGAGACTGCTTTCCTCAAGTAAATCCTTTTCAGGTTTGCTGTTTCCTCTCTCTCTCTCTCTCTCTCTCACAAGCTCGCTCCCTCTCTTTCTTTCTTAGGTTTTTGGAATAGCTTTCTTTGAACAATTTTACACTTCCTCCTCTCTTCGCACTTAAAAATTGGTGGTAACAACTTTGCCGAAATGTTTTCATTTCTCCACTTTAAATTGTGGCATTTAATTTTATATCGAAATATTTTTAAATACATATATATATATATGGTTTTTTTTTAAATTTTTAATTTATATTTTTGTTTCAATTTTTATTTTTTATAATTTTAATATAATAATGTAAGAAGAATTTGTTGTTGTTATGCTTGCTTCAAAATTTCTATTACATCAAATTCAATATTACTAAATATACATGCATATATATATATATATATATATATATATATACTTGTTGTGAAAGAAAATTTGCATTTGATGTAGTGTTGTTGTATTAGCCATTATCTTTGTTTTTTGTTTCTATTAATTTTATCAACATTATTTTCTTTTTTTGTTGTTTTTTTTGGTATTACAGAAAACATAGAAATCATTTCTATGTTTTTGGATTTCTTTCAAAATATTTAAATGGAAAATGGAGTTGTAGTTCCTTCATCAATCACAACGTGCCAAGTGAAGAAGACAGAGGGGCAACGTTTTTATTTTTTTATATTGTTGTAGTAAGAAGTTTGATTACTTATTTTATTTTTATATATTTATTTTTATTTATTCATTTCTCATTGAAATCTTATATTAATTAATATTAAAGTAGTGTGTGTATGTGTGTTGAATGTGTTTTTATTTTATTTCATTTTCATTTTAAATTGTATTCATTAATAATAACGTAATTTGGGTTTTAAATGTTTTAAGTTGAAATTGTTTTTTGTTGTTTGCTTAAGATTTTAATGGTTTCCATAGCAAGAACGACGTCGCATGGTGTTATTGCGCACAGCTACAGTCTTCGTCAACATCTTAAAAACATAGAAAGGCTTAAAAAGAGGTAAATTAGCTGCTCACTTCGATGTCATCATAGTCACGAACTCTGCAAAAAAAAATAGAAATGTTTTTATTACTGACAATTCTTCATTAAAAAAAATATATATATAAATATTTTATATATTTGTATATAATATGAGTAAACTTAAAACTATTAAAATGTTTTAATAACTGAACAGAATATTAAATAATTATTGCTTTCTTGACTAGACTCCTTGAAAAAATGAGGCTATTATTATATTCATAGAATTTGACACCTACAGATTCTGCAATATGTAGAATTTGACACCGTCATTACTGAACCGATTGAGCTGTGAAATTTTGAATCAAAGGATAACTTTAATCAATGTCGTTGTTTTTGTAGCCCGATGGAAGCTATTTGTTAGTTCCGGGAGGTGTTGAACGACAAGTGTAGGTGTAGGTGTAGATCAATAGTCTTATAATTTGTTTTGGTTAGGTTCGTAAGCCTTCCCATATATCTTATAGGTCACACATTGTACTATAATCCCACCTAGTAATAATATAATGATAGAATAATAATGGTAGATTGCTCTCCAACAATATACAATGTATATTTCAGAAAAAAAAATTAATAAATAAATAAAATTACGTAATTTGAAAAACAAATTAATAAATTGTGAAGAAGAAAAAAAAACATTCAGAAGAAGTTCAAACAAATATTGTGCGCTATTTTTGATACGAAGTTGATGTGCGATAAAAGTTTGTTGCTATTTGCTTGATTAATGCTAATTAAAATCAACACTACTAACATTTTGATGAGTACGTGCCTAATCACAAGGTGTGTGTGCTTTAATTTTAGCCATAAAAGTATAAATAAGCATTGAAATAAAGTTGGATTTACTGACGCTGGCATGACAAGGGCGCTGATCTTTGGGGGTTGAGTTTGTAAATCTATCACAGAATTACGTATATGAACTGCACTCAAGTATAAATTAGGGAATTTGTTTAACTTTTGTTTTTTACTTAAAATATTACTTTGGCTTGCTGCCAGTTATTATAGAAATAAAATTCAAGGAATATATAAATATACTTATATAAAGACATATTTATCAGTAAACGGGTGACTTAACAGATATTTTGTGAAATCGTATTTTGTATGTACAAAATTTAATTTTTCTTTAAAGAAAGTATTAATGTTAATTAATATTAATATTAATTCAAGGAATATATAAATATATTTATATAAAGATATATTTGTGAGTAAAATGGTCACAACCATCTTTTTTTTAAGAAAGAATTAATGTGAAAAGTTTATTCTTAAATATTTAAGAAATTTAAAGAAAAATTTAAGAAAAAAATATATATATATTAATAATAAATGTATAGCAGCAAAAACTATAATTGTAATTAAAATGAACACAGACTATATTCGTATTTGAGTGCAAATATTGAGGAAGTGCACTCCTCATTTTCAAGGTGTGTTTGCTATTGGCAAATTTGGAAAACAATTTTTAGATATTTTATTTTTTTCAGAAAGAAAAAAAAAACATTAAAACAAAAGGTGCGGTAGGCTACTATTATACAATGAAATTCTTGTTTTTACCTCAAACAAATGTCAAGGATACCACTAACGCATAGATAAACGAACAAATTTGCATATCTGTAGGCTCTTTACTGTTTACTTTAACAACCAACAGTAATAAGAACGAGAATATCAAATAAACTTAAATAAAAAATAATAATAAAAATGTATTACAAAAATAAACTTAATCTATTCACATAAAAATGATTAACAATATTTTTATATCGATTGATTGATTATGATTGATATCATCATCATTCGTTGTGAAAAAATTTTTTAAATGTTACAGAAAAATACAACCTTCTGTTTTCTATTACATCCTTCACATAACATAATTGGATTATATTGTAGTCCATTTTATTTCTTGCACACGTGGAAAATTTCACGCATTTTCGGAAAAAGGGGTAAAAATATAATATATTCCTCTCATAATCTACTATTTACTTTTAATATCAGCATGTAAAGATAGTTCATTTGAAATAATATTGTTTGCGTAGACGCATTTATCGCTATTAAAATCTATCACACGCTGTTATTCAACATTGTAAGGCTATTTTAATTTTTTACCATTATAAATTATAATAAATATTTGTTCTATTGTAACAAAGAAAAAAAAAAGGTTTCTCCTTCTCTAGTAATTATTAATTATTCATTACATACTTTATACGTGAAAATAAAATTTATACTTCAATTCTATTTTAATTGCATACTTTTAGGTAAGAAGAAAAACAAAAAACTAATATCTCACGTGCCAAATTTTTCTCTCTATAGATGGGTGACAAATAACTACCACACGTATATTTTTTGTAATATTAGATAAGTAAAATCAATAGGAAACTATTGATTCCACTACGAATCTATAATTTTGTATCCATAAGCAATGTTTAACATTTTTACACAACATTATAGAAGTTGAATAAGAACGCCTCGTTCGTTAATATAGAACATAACTTTTATATTATGCAAATCAACAATTTAAGAATTTACCAACTGAATAAATACCAGAAAAACAACAAAATTATGTTTATTTTATCAAAATTAATTAAATAAATATTTATAAATACAGAAAAAATCACGTGAGTCTTATTTATATTGTTTGTTTCGTATATATTCTATAATACCAAACATGAAAATTATATTTGAAAATGTATCACATGACTTTTAGTGATGAAATAATAGTACTAAGCAATGTTTACAATTGATGAAGAGAGCCCACAAAGAGCTAATGCATAGCTATCCCTTTATTAACTAGGCTTTAGGATGTACTTGAAAAAATCACATGGGTTTTAACTTTACCAATAAGCGTTATTGCTAAAAAGTAACGTACCCGGTATTCGACCTAGTGTGATTCAATACTAAAGAGATTTAATCAGCTATTCGTTTAAGTAGAAACCTAAATCAGATAATAAATTTACTAAGATATATAAATACATCAATTTATTAAAAATACCTATAAAGAGCAGAAATATAAATGAATTACAAGACTGCATGTATGCGATAAGGTAAGATAAACGGTAATAAAATATCTGAGAGATATGAAACGGAAATACAATAGAAATCAAGCTGGCTCAAAGCCCAGTAAACTTATAACCACGGTTTTGTGAAGGCACAATCGGGATGTGTGAATTTTTACCTGTGAGTTTAACGAATAGGACCGTTAAAAGTAGTACCGCTGCAATTGCAGCTCAGATTAGAAAAAACAGTTTATTTATGTTATAGAAAGAACATAATATGGTTATTACATGGTTATATAGTAAACAATATAGGACTACTACAGTTCTTGCTGCTTTATTTCCGTGAAAATATCGGGTGGATATCACGTAAAAGATACTGCCTTCATTCGTTAAATTATTCAAATACCACATGTGAATTAAGGTAAAGTTAACTTTAATATATATATTTATACAAAATGTATTTTGTAAAGTGAATATATTAAATTAATTCTGTGATATGATAACAATACATGTGAAGCTGGCAAAATTTATTTGATTAGATCAAAAATACCGGTTTGCACTGGAACAGATAGAAAGATGACCATATACCGCAAAATTACTTTTACTCATGTAGCAGATAACAATTACAATAATTTATTTGTGCTCAAACAATACACTCCTTTCCTTTTTTTCTTATTTTTTTAATGGAGGGGTAGTGGGTGGTGGATTTTATAATACAATTTTGTTTATTAATTTTGGGATATAGACGTTGCATTACAGAAATTCTGGAAAACAGAATTATGAATAGTACAATAATGCTGTTAAATGAACATTAAATTATAAATGTGGAATAATATTTTGAGAAACAGCTGTTTAAGCTATGCTTTTCGATTTATTATAATAAATTAAGCACACACTTTGTTTCTATTGTTTTTAACTTTCTTGTCTAACAGACCAGTAAGGTCTGTTGAATTGTTTCATTGTATATAAGCTGTTTGTGAAGCATAATGAAGATATAATGGCAGAGAACGATATCAAATGAAAAACTCTGGAACCAAATTGGCCAAACATCTATAAATATTGAAATCCGAAAGCGAAAAAATACGTGTGGATACGACATACACTGTGTAAGCAGTATGATGATATACCTCATGCAGCGCTAAGGTGGAATCCCCAGAGAACCCGGCGTAGAGGCAGGCCCACTCAACATCGCGAAGGACAATAAACACTTAAAATGGCAAATCGTTTAACAAACTCATACAATTGTCATAGAATAGAGATATATAGAAATCATTTATTGTACCCTTAAAGCTCCTAATGGAGTATGAATTAAGTAATAATATGTTTAAAAGGAAATCTAAATATAATTTGGCATTTTAATTGAAATAAATCGTAATTTAATTGCGTTTATCACAATTCACATCATTAATACTAAGTCTGGAATGTACCATAATATTATGTTAAAGACTTTATAATCTTTATATAAAAATTATATAATTATTATTTATTATTATAAAATATACTTTAAATACCATACGGTATAATATTTTAAAGCTTTATAATATTAATTACATTATAATCTATTAACTATTAATTATTCTCTTCTTCTATTAAGTTTTATCTATTAATTTTCATGTCATCCTAGATTTAATAAGTTTTATTGAAATCTAATTTCTATTAAGATGATAGATAGCATAAAGATTTCTGTCAACAGTTATGAATATTTAAAAAATGTGAAAATTATTAATCTTCATATAAAATTAGTTGGATTTAATGCAAATATAACACATTTTTCTTATTTTTACAAAAAAAAAAACACAAGAAAAAATAGGAATCTATAAATTTATTCAGATAATAAATTTGCCGCACACTTCTATAGATTACTAAATTAACTAAATATTTCGTAGAAAAATACACTTTTAAATACGTATATCTCACATTTTTTGTTATAAAGCATTTAAAAGTAAATATTTAAAAATTTGATAAGTAAAATGCTCTAATTGTATTAAAAATAATTTCTGACACAATTTGCTAAAAACGCTACTTAAATGAACGATTCAATGTATTTTTTTTATTTTTTTTTTTTTTTATACAAAATTTATCACATTTTCTCTTATAGCATGCAGCAAGCAGCGAGTATTGTTGTAAAAATATTCAATGAATCAACAAAAATACTAGATAAAAGTAGATAAATCACCAAAATATTACTAATAGCTTTAAAACTAGTTTCAAATATTTCTTAATGAATAAATAATTTGTTATAAAAGAAAATAACATATTCATAAAATGAATCAATTCTTCTTAGTCATGTTACTGACTTTTACTACTTTTACTAAGAACTCTATGCATATATCAACCATAAGAAGCTGTAATAGCAGAGCTATTGTAAATATCTCTGGCAAAAAATGTGTCTTAGTTCTTCTATACAAATATCTCCTAAAGGCAACTTTACTTGAAATCTGCTAAAAGAACACAGAAACACTCAATAAGTTTCACAAATATTAATTTCAAATTTTTTTTTTTGGTTCCGTTATTGCGAGCTATAAACTCGTTACTAGTTTCTGGATGCTTCCAGTTGAAATGTCTGGAGAAGTTATCATATTAAATAAAACAAAAGATCGAAATTTCTGTATTTTTTGTGCCCAAACCTCCAGTTACCTGCTAATTTGAGCTTTCTCACTGTTTTCTCACCATTTTTGTTGTTATTGACCCCTATCCACGGTGTAGTGCCTACTGGCAATACCTGGGCATGTTAAAGGCTAGTCACCAGAGAAATGCCAAAAATAAAATTGTATATCCCTACAGACTATAATATATCTGATGGCATACTTTACCCTCATTCGCAAACTATATATAGTTAAAAAATAAAAATAAAAATTTTACGATTAAAATTATATAGTATATAATTAAATGTGATAAAATATGAATAATAGTATACTAAGCAATATTTAAATACAACATTGCGTTTTAAGTGAAATAAATCTAGTATTATAATTTGGGATACACGAAGACCTCAGGAACCAGCGCTATATCTATAGATATTAGTTTTTAGTTTCATAAATTAAACTATCATTACTAATAAATAAAAAAGTTATAGTTTGGATACAATGACCGACAATTGCTATTATCACAAATTATATTAATAATTATAAATAAATATCATTTATTTATAATTATTTCAAGCTTAAACAGCTTGAAAATACTTTTACATATTTAAAAGCAAATCAATGTTAAATATTCAAATTTGCTAACACATTTTAAAAAAAGATTTTAGTCGCTTACCTTCGTAATTGACTTGACCATCACCGTCGATGTCAGCCTCGCGGATCATCTCATCGACTTCTTCGTCTGTTAATTTTTCACCCAAATTTGTCATGACGTGACGCAATTCAGCCGCTGAAATGAAGCCATTGCCATCTTTATCAAATACTCTGAATGCCTCTCGGATTTCCTCTTCACTATCGGTATCCTTCATTTTACGGGCCATCATTGTTAGGAATTCAGGAAAATCAATGGTACCATTACCTGTGTTATTAATAGTAATAAAAAAAAAAAAAGAAAATTAATAATTAGATACGTGATTTTTTTTAAATACAAAGAAGACTATTAATTAATGAAAAATGTATATATCATTATTTCGTTTTTAATATTATTCAAAATGAAATCCTTGAAAGGAAAGTTGGAATGGTTTTATTTAAGTGCATATTATTTATTATCTCCACATTTTACTTTATGTGAACCAATCGGCATAACTGAAACTGAAAGTTCTAATACTATACTGTTGAGAATTTAAGAATCTCGTGAACATATGATTATCATTGAAAAATATTTATTTGCAACTATATACATATATAATATTTATATTTGCTTATTTTCAATACAAACGAAATGCAATAGCTACAAAAATTGAAGGCATGACGGAAACATTAAAAATTCATTATTAAAGTGTTGATAGTGGAAAAATTTGGCGAAGCAGATTTACACCGAGTGGCTGGCACCAGCAGGCAGCAGGCAACAGGCAGACCAGTGACCAGACCAGACGAGTGCCGAAAATTGCTGCCAATTGAAAAGATATGGTAATAAGAAACATTGTATGGGTTCGAGACAAGAGATACAATAAAAAATATTAAGTTTTTCTTTGCTATAAATAAGCAAATTACCGTCATCAATGTATTAAATTAGCAATTGCTTCTGGCGTTGTGCAAATTTAAGACAAATAATAATGAAAAGCAATGAACAATTTATTGAAATTCAATAAAATATTTGAAAAAGAAATATATATAAATAACAAAAAAAAAAAAATATTATTTATATTAATAAAATAGAAATAAGAAAAACACTATAAGAACACTGCATGCGCACATATTCAGTCTATCGAGTGTCTAAAAGCGGACAGTTTCGCAAAGGCAGGGCGCTCACAACTATTTACTCGGAAATAAACAGATATAAATATAAATATAAATAAAAAAAGAAAAAAAATAAAGAAATTTAATTAAATTTGTTTTGGGAAATCCTCGCAAATTATGCCAAAAATTCAAATAAATGTATGATGCTTTATTATTTTCACTATGGAAAAAATTGAATATTTATTAAAATTTTCTTCTTCTTTTTTCTTTTTTTTTGACAAGATCTGAAAAATTTTGATGAACAAGTATTAATATTTATGATGTACCAAAATATTGTAAATATTTCATATACTCATATTTATTTATATTTATGTACAACATCAAAATAAATATTTTAATAATTTATTTCTAATTACTTTTTCCTTATCTATAGCTGGAAATACTTATTTTTGAAGAACGTGCAGCTATTTATATGTGAAAAAACTTTGATAAGATTATGATGAACATAATCTTTTTCACCAGTTTCCCAAAGAACAAAGTACTTTTTAAAATCTTTCATTAAATGCAGTCTTTTTTTATAAGCTATATACAGTAGACTCCCGGTTTAACAAACACTATTATAAATAACGAACTATCAAATGCTTGTATATAATAAGTTCCTACAAATATTGCATAATAAAATGCATTTCAAATAAGAAAAGCCCTTGACTTTATATCTTTGATACCGAAACTCTACTGTATTCGATAAAAGTTTTCCAATTTGCTTGTTTACAGGTTGGCTTTTCTAATAAATGCAAAGCAAAATGCAAATACATTTTTAAATTTAATTTTATTCTTTTTTCTTCTGATATACTCATTGTATCTACTGGGTGTGGGTGGTGGAAGCAAGTAGTTCACTTTTAATATAAATATATTAGACGATATAAAAATTACACTAACTCGCACTAGGAAAACAATTTAAATAACATCTCCATAAATTGTGGGTTTAATGCCGTTTCGAATATATTTATTTCTTGAATAATTGATTAATTTCTATTAGGCTAGAAAACTTTTTGTTTAATGTCTAAAAAAATATTAAACAGCACACACAGCATGTTTTTGAATATACCTATATACCATATAAAAATAATTATCAAATGCTAAAATCGTAAAGCCACTTTTATACATAAGAAGACTGTGAGATAAGTCGGTGATAACTACACTTAAATATCAATTTAACACTGAAGTAATATTTGCAGTTTTACCATGTTCACTTAGTAGATTTTTAAATTATATATTAGTTCCTCACACAATCAGCTTGCTTAGGACGATATGTTAATTAAAAAATAGAGATTAAGAGAAATTTCGATGCTTTCTGTGCCTCGTCACCTTGGTCAAAACAGTGTTGCTCAGTAATAAATATCAGAAAATCTACTTATGAAAAGTAAATATGTGTGCATATGCTTAATATTCACATAAAAATAACTATCTTATATTCTTAAGCACCAAAAACTAACTAAAATGGAAGTAAAAGCAGAAAATTAGGAATTTTGATATGACTCTGTAAACGTGTCTTTACCTCAAGATAAAAAAAGCATAAAAATGGTGTCGTATGATGGCATTTTTAAATTTAAAGCTCGATATCTTACTATATGTCTTACTATATTGATATAAAGTGTAGTTGAAAACCTTATTCAGAATAGCTACTTTACTGAAATTCGTTATCATAACGTTGTGCCCGGGATATCTGTGTCCTGTCACAGTACAACTTTCGGCGCGAAAATATGTAGAAGGACTTGAATAATTAAAAACAACACATTTAATAAAAAAAAAATATAAAATAAAAAAATGGAAAAGTTAAGAGATATATATGCATTAATAAAAATATACATAATAAACAGATTGATGATTTGGAACGTTTTTTACAAATAATGAAAATGTTTCTAGTTCAAGAAATGATAAATATTGTATGTGAAGTGGTCTCTTTTCAATATTTACCGAAATATGAGTTGTAGAAAAAAAAATAAATTTCTGAATATCTTAATAGTTTGAAACAAAATAATACTTATTTGTTCCTTTTTTTTTGTTAAAATTTAAAAGTGTACATTTTAGTAATGTGTAACTTGAGAACTACAGTTTATTTAAGGCAATAACTATTAAATTGTCTGTCTTAATCAAATTTAAACTTTATTTCTTTTATCATATTATATAAATATTAATTTATAATATGAAGTTAAAGCAAATTGAAATTAAATTTTGTTTTTAAAAACGCTTCTGTGAATTTAAAAAAAAAAGTGTATGTTGATTTAATTTTATTATAGTAATATTTAGAAACATCACCGATGTTTTGAAGGTTATTTTAGAGCGAAGAATATTCTTAGAAGCCTTTTTAAAAACAGAAATAATAATAAAAAAAATTGAGCTCATAGCTATTCTTATTTAAAATTGAATAAATGTTAATAATTAATTTGAAAATTTGTGTAAAATTTACAAAAAAAAATAAAAATGTTTTGTTTAAGTTAGCAAAAAAAAAAAGAAAAAAAATAAATAAATAAAACCCCACCCATAAACAAATAGGACATTAAAAGTTATTTCTTGATTATATCAAAATTGTTGGCATGGCAGATTAAGACTAGAGACAACTTGCCTCAATAATTTGTTGCCTTTTCCCTCTGCCTGCCGCAATAGCAAGAGCAGCGACGAATACAGCCAAATTAATCCTACGATAACGAAAAAGTAATGAAAGTTACATAGAAACGAAAACGTGAGTCAGATAAATCAACAGGAGTAAATTGCTTACAATTTGAAGTTTTCATATGAAAAACTTTCATTTTTACAGTCCTCGCTATTTCACAACCCGATGTACGTATGACACACGTGCATTAAGCACGAAAAAGCTATAATGAAGCACGCATGTGCTGGATAAGAAAAAAAAAGTGACTTATAAATCCAGGGCAAATAGTTGGCCCTGTGCAGCATCACAGCAGTTTGCAAACTTATTAAAGCCAGCAATTGAGAGAGCTGTACTCTACGAAGGACAGTGGAGAATGTTAACCAAAAACGACGACTGAACAACATACGAGTATAATAATCTCTCCCAAATTGTGTAGGGGAACAGAGCTGAACAGAACAGAAGTTCTGGGTTCAATGGCAAAATTGAAAATTTGGAGCAAACCTTACTCATTTTGTTTATAGGTTGTGCAGCTGAACGAAGAATCACAAAATCAAAGTAAAGTGAAATAAATACAAATAAAAATTTTAATATACAAAAAATAAAAAAAAAATTTTATGGTCTCGTGATTTAAATCAAATATACAACAACCCTTCAAAGAAAAAAAAATTTAATCTGTGTTGAAGCAAGGGTAGAAAGGAACCTTAAAGCAGAAAACTTTATTTATTTATTTTTTTTTTTTGTATCGTACCTGCCTAACATGATTCGAATAATTCTATGGAAGTATGTATACATTTTAACCTATATTTAGCTTTTTTATTACATCAATGCAGAATTTCAATGAAATTAAAACTTCAATCCTTCAAAAGTGTGTTCATTGAGTAATTATGTTGGGACGTTTCGTCCAAGTATCAAATTTAAAAAAAAAAATTTTTTCTCTGAGTATTGGATGAAGGAGAAAAAAATAAATTAGGTCATTATTTTGCAGATTAAAATTCCTGATGAATTTAATTAATTCATTTTATTGAATATAAGTATATTTTTTTCGTGTTACTGCTAACACGATACATTAATATATATATATCTATATATATAACTCTGCCTTAAATTCATATTTTTTATTCAAACAAAATTTTTTTTGTATACTATTTTTAGATTAAATACTCGTACTATTTATTGTATCTCATTTTTTTCGGTTTTATGGCGGCAAACTGAAAAAATTGCTGTTATTGTAAAAGCAAATTTTTACGTTTTTATATGAATTTTATTTTCGTTTCAGTCGTGTACACTTCATGAATTTGTCACCCAAATGAAAAAAATATGAAGACCTGTGAAACAAGCAGCAAAATTCATTCTGCCGTTTTGAGGTTTTTCACCTCTGGCGAAACTTTATTTATGCACTTTTGTTTATATGTGTTAAATGAAATTATTAGGCTAAAATTATAAAAAAAATAAATATTTTTAAACAGCAGCAGTAATATTTGCACTTAAGTATTATAAATGAAATAAAATGAATTATTTTAATTTCATTTCTTTGTTTTCAGAGACTGCTTTTTTTCTTCTTTTTAACATTTAATATATAATATTTAATTTTATTAGTTCTCTTTCTTTATTTATATGAACGATATATTTACGATCTCGAGTAACAAACTTGACAATGCAAAGTACCAGTAACAACAAACTTTTACTCGAGATCGTGTATACACCACAATTGGATACAAATATTTTATATTATATAAGTATTTAATCTTACCATCGGCATCAACTTCATTTATCATGTCCTGCAATTCAGCTTCTGTTGGATTTTGACCCAGTGACCGCATGACTGTACCCAATTCCTTTGTTGTAATGGTACCATCGCCATCCTTATCAAAGAGTGAGAATGCTTCTTTGAACTCGGCAATTTGTTCTTCTGTAAGTTGATCAGCCTAAAAAATACAAAAAAAAAAAAATTATCAATTATTAACAAATTCTAAGTGTTTAATAAAATTATATGAGAACTAATTTCTTATCTAAACAAAACGATAAGCTGGAATTCAAAATATATTGTTTTATCTAAACAAATCAATATCTTCTTGGAATGGAGCAGATATTACAGTGAACCACCTAAGTATAAGATATATTAGTGAACCGTTATTGAGTAAAAGTGCTTCAAAGTCGCTTTTATGGACACATAAGATCATTTATAATATTATCAATGGATATATTCTTATAAAAGAATTTAGTTACAATTATTGCAAGTATTAATTAAATTTTAACTTAGTAACTTTATTTTAAGACAGCCTTTTTATTGCGCAGGTTAGGGAGTTAGTTACTCTGGCAGCTAAGACACACTAGACTGCTGATGCTTCCTCATTGCTTGGTAACTTTTAAGCAGTAAATGTATTGTTCAAAAATTTATTAAAGAAAATAATTTTATAAACAATAATATAATATATTTATATTAACAAAATTATAAACATATTACTTATAATATAATAAATACATATTATAAATTATAAATATATAAATTATATATATAAATATTATATTTTATTTTTATTTTAAATTTAATCTTATTGCCAAATAATTTGTGACATTTTCAATTGTTTTATTAATAAGACTTAATTCATAATAATTTTAATTCATAATAATTTCTCTTGCTTTCAAATTATGATTTTATTATAAACAAATAATGTAATAAATAAATATTTTTATAATTACATAAAAACAAAAATTATTTTTAATAATAAAAAAAAATTTAAAAAAAAAATTAATTAATAAAAATCTATAAAAAATATTTGAACAAAACTTTATAAAAAATATTATTAAGAAATATAAATTAAATTTAAATAAAAATTGTTTTTAAAAAGTTTATTATTAAATGCATTGAGTAAGTAATTATTTTTTCATACGTAATAAGGAAATGAAATTTATTTTATTTCATAAAAAAAAAGTTACTCAACGTATCAACAATACAGTCTTTGTAATTAAAATCTATTAAATATTGTAGACTGTTTAATAGTTTTTAATTTAAAAATAAATCAGTTTTTCACAGCGTAAAAATTATATTTTGCACTTTAAAAAAATTCAGTTTAATTATTTTAAAGTAAAAATTGTTAAATAGTATTTTTTTTGTGGAAAAAAAATATTTTATTTGCAAGCTGTGAATACTTATTAGCGAAAAAACCTTGGAATATTGGCGGACCTTAACATTAATTAGATATTTATTTGCAATGAATTTAAATTTTAATTGAATTTAACTATTCAATATGTTTTTCATCATTCATTATATAAATAAAATTGAAAATTAAAGGACGGAAAAGAAATGTATGTCATATTGATATTATCGGAGAGATTACCCTCCATACGTTAATATAAATTTTTATGTTTAAGTTCATCTATAGTGCTAGAATAATACAAATTTATGAGTAAAAATTTCATAATGTTCATACAGTTCTTCACAATTCTTAGAGTCACCCAAACCATTAGCCATTAGCTAAATTCAGTTTCTACAAAACGTTCTATAATCTTAGTTTCTAAGTTTATATTAAGTTCTCAACACTTTCTGCTTTCTTTGCGCAAAGCTTCATATATATATATGAAAAATTATAACGCCAATCCGATATGAGGTTTTGTATCTAAAGTTCACTTTCCTCAAAGTAATATAATTTATTGGTATTAAAGCTTTGCCAATTAAAGTAAATTAAACGACACAAATCTTCAGATTTAGGGAACATTCTCATTGGAAGAATTTTTTATCTTTTAATTTTATTTAGTTTAAAAAAACTTATATATGAATTAATAAGAGAAATTAGAGGAGAGGATCTTTGAGGGAATTATTTGTTCTCCTTTAATTATTTAAAAGTGTAATCCAAAAAAAATATATATTATTGATAAAAAAAGAGAGTTCTTGGAAAAAATATAATCACCCAAATATTAGGAGAGACCAACTTTAATAGAATTTAAAGGAAAAATAAGAATGTACAGACCCTGATATAAAAATGAATAATAATAATAATACTTCAGATAATTGAAATAAAAAATTGGATAGAAAACAACACCTAACAGACAAAGAATCTAAAAGACATATCAGAAGAGGAAAGTTACTCTTCAAAGAAACTACAGATTACATAATAAATATAACAAATAAATATAAAAAACTATAAAAAAACTATTGTTTTATTGACTTAAGAATATCAAAAGCAGAACACTTTTAAGACAATTATAAAGAAAATACGATTGTATAAATGCAATAAAAATCACTTAAAATATTTCGATAATTTATGTGAAAAATGGAAGGTTTTAGAATAATTAAAGGAAAATATTTCAAAATGATTGAATCATCTCACAAAAATTTCGATAGTAAAAAATTGTTATATTTTCAGGAAAACTATATAATATTGAAAATATTTTTTAACATTTTTGTTAATTTTTTTATTTAAAAATAATCAAATTTCTTGTATATTCAATATTTAATAGGAATATCTAAATCAAAAATAAAATGAAAGGAATGGTAAAGGATTATTTAATAGATATTACTCAAATCGTGACAAACCTATATTTGAAGGATATAAAACATATTGCAACTACTTTGTGAAAGTAAAAATAATATATTTTTATAGGTTCCACCAATTATTAAATTATTTTACAAATATTTTGACAGATTAAGAACCTTTGTACATCCTGAGAATTAATCAATTATCAAATCATTATATAAAGGAAAGATGATAATGACTAAATCCTATCAGTATAAAATATACAGACAGGTCTTAAAACGTTTAAATGTAAACACAACAACAACAACCTTCCTTATATTTTGGAAAACAAAAATAATATAGAAATAAAATGATCTTTAGATCAATTTAATTAACACAGTTGAAGAATCGGGAGAACAAATAAATGAGAAACCAAGAGACATCTTTGTTGATTCACTATGAACATGGATTATATAATAAAAATTATTCTATTCTAAAAAATATTAATTCTATTACTTTTTTTTGAATGGTGTTACTTTCCATGTGTTAAAAATATATAAACAAATAGCTTAAAACCTAAATACTATGCAAGACAAGACTGCCGCCTTACAGTAAATATTTGGTAGAAATTACAAATTTCACTTCAATATCAAAATTCATACACTTTAAAAATGTTATGGAGATCTTTTTTAATACAATATATACTATGTACGTAAGGTATATAAAAATAACATGGTGTACATGTACATGGTTTGGCTCAGAATATCATATTTGTACGTACGTTTCGCTAAGCTTAAAATGGTAAACTGACGTCAATAAAAAGCAAATATGACTCCGAATGACTTAATAAGAGTAAAAAAACATGCACACATGTAAGACGTGACCGTAATGTGGAACCAAAAATGTGGAGATAACAATGCCAGCTGATTAAAAATAAATATTAATTAGCAAAGGCAAAACAATAAAAAAAAGGTACATGTTTGGTACCAAAAACAAAATGCTAATATCCCCCGGTTTCTAAACAATTTTTTACTAGAGAACCAATATATTCATCGTGTATGTGTATATGCAAAGAGAATTATATATATACATATATATATTTATTGTTCAATATAGAAATCAGATACAGAGACACAAAATAAATTAGACAAATAATCTGTGAAAATAAAAGATGAAAGCAAAATATATTCAGGCATATGTTCAGTTCATAAACTTTTGCGAACATATTGAGTATTTGTAATAGAATATAAGGCCACTTATTTAAAAAAAAATGTATTATTTCATTTTTGCAATTTATTATTCTGTTTATAGTCTTCTAGCGATACTTAAAAATATTCATTTATGAAGAATACATAATTTAAAAATACTTAAATATATTACTTTTTGAAGAAACTAAACTACGCTTATCTTCAATGAATTAAATAATTATAAAAATTTACCTTGAATACTTTACGACCATTTTAGATATAGTAAGAAGGAATATAACTTTTTTTTGCATATTAAGGTTAATAATGATATACGTTCAAATTGGCATGTATTTTTTTTTTTAATAATAAATTACAAATTTATTATTTTTTGAAATAGCTGTTTAAGCCGACCATTTCGAATTATTACAATAAACCAAATATATAATTTGGTTATTACATTTATTATTATTATAATTAATTAGACGGTTATAATTGTCGGAATTTCGCATTAGCAGTTTAACATACATATTATTTAATTTACCGAGACATAGAGACATAGAAAACTACTATATTACAGATCATTTAACGAAAGAAAGAAGAAAAGAAACAGATTGGTAATCCTTTAGCGACCTATAAACACAGTCAGTTATGTTTTTAAATGAAATACGAAAAATGGGACATAAAAAAAATTCCGGTTTCTTTCAATATCAATATCTTAAATATAAGTTATAATAGCTGCAAACATCGGACATTGTCTAATGAGCCTAAACGTCTCGAGAATGAGTATTAAATCCAATGGCTACCGTATAAGGGATGAGAAGGAAGAAAAAGAAATTATATAGATTATTATAAGCTGTAGGATGTTTTAAATGGTAATATCGCCAAGGGTCACCAAGGCTATTACATTTTATTACATCAATAAGATGGTAGAACATGATAAATTAATTTTAGAATCATACAGGGATCATGTGCCTATTTATGTCGACTGCCTTATTAAGCTATCTTCTTCATTATTTACACAATAAAATCATCGCTGACAATACAGTTTAACAACGAATAATGCTTTTAGGGGTCATATTGGAAGCATATGGTATCATGAGTAAATTTAGTTTAATTATATCCGCTGCTACATTAATCTATCTTTATTCCATGCACAATATAATTAGCTTTGATAATATGATTAAATCAGGATTAATACTTTTAGGGGTCATACTGGAACTACTATCTTTATTCTATACACAATATAATTAGCTCTGATAATATGATTTAATCAAGGATAATACTT